CTCATGCCAAACCTTCCCGCTTTACCAGTCTTATTACTGGCTTAGCGAGGTAAAGGAGTGTGTCGGTGGCCGCGGATCGAACCCTGGACCACTTACGTAGTCGGCGAGCTGTGCCACCGACGCACATTGGAGCCTATATAATCTTTGTTATTTCATGACTTAACTTATTTCCCCCTTCTGTTTTGTTCTGTTCTCTTCATTCACCATTGAATTGTATTCTTCATTCACAGTTGTTTATAACAGAACACTTCTGTCATCGAACTTTCATGTATCGTCATTGTTATTATTATTATTATTATTACAAACTGTGTAAGTTTCGTCATTATTCATATAATGAGTGCGTGTATTATGCATTAGTTACTTTGTGCTCTGATTTTCTCCTGATATATATATTTTTGTAGTTTGTAATGCTCTTCTCTCCCCTTTTTCCTCTTTCTGTCTCTCTATCTCCCCTTCTCTATGAGACATTGCCTTAGTGTGCTCTTTACCTTCTGTCGAACCGTTCCGTATACATGTGGTTTCTTCTGTTCGCTCTGATTCTAGGAACTATACTGTCTATTCTTCTGTTGTAACTTCTATTGTAGTTCAGTGGCGTTAATTTTTCTTAGAGTTAACATTTATTCTTTGACTTGTTGTAGTGTTGACATCAAACTGTAAGCTAAAATACCCCATATGACATGAAGTAATATCAGGATAGGCAGGCAGGTAGGTAGGTAAGTCGCACATCTCTGAAATCGATGTTTCTGTATTCTTTCATAAAGTAACTTACTGATCATTCACTAGAACTTAAAGAATTCAAGGTAGTAATAATGTAACAACAGAAGACAAGGGCCAGGAAACAGAACGTTTATTAAGGAAAATCAATACGTATTTATAGATTTTGATGTACATTATTGTAGGTTAATGTTAGTAGAAAATACAGTCTTTTGATTGGTTGTTTCTCACACAAAGTTAACCTTGCATCTCTTGTGGCTGTGTCAGTTCATCTATATGTTAACTGTATCCGCCTGTCCATCTTGACCTTTGACCTCAATTACTGCCAACCAATTTGGCTAGCAACCATCTCTCACCACAATAATAATAATAACATCCAATTGACTCTCGTGGTACAAATGGCCTAGTGATGGAGATAACACTGACACTTTTGGTATGATGGGTGGTGCTGCGTTCGAGGCTCAGTCGGAGAGCACCATCATTCACATCCAGATGAGGATTCTCAAATTGGTGGGGGGGAGGGAAATGCTCATCTTGAATTCTAGTACTACTTAGTCATCAGCCAACAAATAACATGCAGTCGTTATAGATAAGATTTTATTTTCATAAATCACACAGTGGTGCTATACAGTAACATTAAATGACGACGTTTCGGTCACAAATTATTGCTCATAATCATATCGAGGTACTCACTCACACAACTTTCTTCCTTCGTCGTTTATATATATGAGTAAAAATTGATGATTAGACATTTGAATAAAATCAACATAAGATAAAGTGCATTCGGAAATGATAATATTAGTGTTATCAATAAAATACAATCAGATGGGACCTGGTGGATCTAATTAAACAAAATAATATAATTTACAAAATACCTTGCAATGACTGTGAGTGAAGTCAACTACATAGGTCAGTCAAACTAGTAGATCGAGGGTAGTCAGATTGTCGAAACATTAGAATTTAACTAAGGTTAGAATGATTGATCCCACGACGATAAGTAATTTAGGAAGACAAACTCAGCAATAGCACTGCATGCATTAACACACAACCACACAATGGGGTGGTGGGAGAGGGTTAGAATTTTAAGAAGTAATATAGGTAGGTGGAGAGCGAGAGAGATTGATTACTGAATCCTGGTTCACTGAATAATCTACCCAACACAAGCAATAGAAGTGACTCGACGCAAATACCAGAGATATGTATGGAAGATATTATTACCACCAGTTAAATCAGAGGATCATAATGTTAAAATGTATTCAATTCACATTATAAGATTCTAACATGTTATTTATTTATTTCACTATAAAAGCATATTGTTTCCGAATGCACTTTATCTTATTTGATTTTATTCAAATGTCTAGTCATCAGTTTTTATTCATGTATATAAATGAAGTAAAAGCTGTGTGAGTGACTTGATATGATTATGAGCTGCAGTAATAAATTGGGCTCGAAACGTGGTCATCAGTAAATATTATTGTATAGCACCACTGTGTGATTTATCAAAATGAAATCTTCTCTATAATGGAGTTATACTCTACCACATTGCCCAAGTTTTATAGTCGATTTTAGTTGAACCAGTACTCACACCTAGCCATCGATCGCCATCCTCGACAACGGGTAATATTAGCTGCCCGCATAGGATAGATCGTGATGAAAAAGAGCTAGTGTTTGGTAGTCAAATAGAAACATGACTTCATCAGTTAATGAAATGCATAACAGTTTGTGTCAGTCACGTAGGAGCGAGATGTAGGCAGTTGTTTGGTTGAGGTCCTCCGGATGGTGAAAACTAATAGGTGGAGACAATTGGTGATAAGGATCGAAATCGTTGTTCATGGCTGGTGGAGATGCATTCACTCTTTGCGATTTGTCATATCCAATAAAACCTTATCGTTTTTACATATTGCTATTCTTTCCACCAACCCACCCACACACCCACACTTCGATTTGTTATCTGTGTTTTGAACCTTCTTTTACTCTCTTCTCTTTCTTTGTGTGGTACATGGAGGGAGTGGGGCAAGCTGAACCACTGCATAACTGTGCAAAGTTGTATGTTGAAAATAGTCAGTCAGTCAGTCACTCAACTAAGGTTGTGGTGAGAGCTGTCTGCAAGCCAAAATTGTAGACAACAACTTACTTCAATATTTAAGTCCCGAGTCGGGGTCATGAGAAAAAAACAATAGCAAAGCTTAACCTTGGGGAAACCAACAACCAATCACAGCAGACTTAACTTGTGGAAATAGGATTCGCAGATATATGGCTTAACTTTCTAAGAAACGTTCATAAGCAGTACAGAATAACGTTCACCAAGAAAACAATCAATCAGAAGACGTTGCTTCTCCGCTAAGAATCACGCTAATAATAATGTACACAAATATCTCTTGATTTTGTCAATGAATGATCTGTTGTCTGACCTTTGTCCTCTGTTGTTACAAGATAAATGTCTAAAAATTATCAAGACTGTAGTAATCTACGAACAATGAGTAATAGATTATATGTTGCATTGTGTTACTACTGCAGTTTTAATAGTAGGATTACTCCACCTTCAGGGGGATTTACACTTTTCATCGTTCATACTCTTTCTTCTTTTTTTGTGGTTTTGTCAATTTGGAAAATGAAAAAATTTAATTAAACACCTCTCGTTTTCATTTTTTTTAAATTCCTCTTTTCAAAAATCTCATGCTGCTTTTGCACTTTATGTCAATTTTAATATTCGAAATCAATAAAGAAAGAAATGATTCTGTTATTCCTCTTGCATATATATATATATATATGTTATGATGAACTTATGATGAAACTAGATGTTTAACTTTCCTCTTTTCTGTTATTATTTTTAGCTATATACTATTTAATGTGTTGCTACTTAGCTATTTCATATTTCACTATATTCTACTCTATAGATGTAATTAGCTTCTGGTCATCTCCAGTTAACGGTGTAATTTATACTTTTGTCCGAAAATTGAGTGAATCATTGAACATTGTCCATAGAGAGTTGTCAGAGCGGTTAGGACGCTTGCCGACCAGGCACATGGTCCGGGGTTCGATCCCCTATCGACACACAATTGATATCAATTAGTCGGCCTGAAAAATTTGGGCTACCGATATCACATGCTGAAAATTCCATACTTGTACCTAAAATACTGTGTGGAATAAAGCTATGATCAAAAATATATTTTTTGTTGCTTATTGAAGATTATGTCCTTGCCTATTATGGTGGTTCCCACCAATAGACTTACTATCTTGTTGCTTGTTTTGTTGCGGGATAGACAAATACCCCACACTTCACTTGTTTGGGTGGGAAGTTGCATCAGCCAACACACCAGCTGGTTGATCGCTGACGAAATCTCAGCACGACTTGTTTTGTCACTTGCCAACTTACACCATCTCTGGCTGAGTAAACGTGATATATCCAGCTGGCTGGCTATCGACCAAAGGATGTGAGTACTGCTCAGAAGTTTATGGCTGTGAGCGAGACATGATCATTGAAAGTGGAAGACATGAAAAGGCAGGCTAGCTAGCTGTCTTTGGTCATAGGTGCCTGCTTTCTATCTCCCGTGTTAGGTGTCATGGTTCAATAGGGTGAGGCATCGGTGGAGTGTTAACTGGGTATGCGGGAAAATCAGTCCACTAAGCAAAGTTGGTTTGTAATGGTATAAAAGTCGAAGCATTCTTCGCAGCCACCTGTCCCTTCACAGACATACTAACTGCTTGTTTGTAGAATATTAATATTGGCTGGAGGATCATGAGACGAAATGTCCTACTTATAATTTTATTATTCTTTTCTTTGTGCTCTATCGTTATTATCATGTTCTATACTCCTGTTGCGTTGTGTGAACGAGTTTTCCTCAGTTCTTTTTATTATGTTTCCTTTATTATTCAAGTATTGGTTTTTGCAGGGATTTAGTTTGATTGGTTGGAGGATTTCATTATGCACAGTCAGCTGTTTCATCCTTGTTTGGTACTCTTCATCAGTATGCACCCGCCGCCAGCGTTCGAACCCGGGACCTTCTGGTTACAAGGCGAGTTAGCTCGTAGACCATTAGGCCACTGGGACCCGATCAAATGGCCAGCCCATGAATCCTAACTTCTGCCAATTCACCCATGATATAGCGCGACCACTTTGCAATGCCTTTTTCGATGAGTTACTACCTCATCTTCAACCTGCTGCACCCTACTGGTCACGGCTTCCTATGTTTTTGACCTGAAGGCATGAAAAGAAACTTTTCGCCTATAAATACACTAATAATCTCATATTTCTGTCTTTACTTTTTTTTCTGGTTATCTTCTAGATATTCAGAAGTCAATAAATCAAGTGGATTACATCGTACAGCTTCTGCAATTCCTAAAACACCAATCGGAAACACTGCTGGTGGACGTAAAGGAGGTGTTCGACGCTTAACTGTTGGAACTGCTTCTCCCCATCCCTCAACATTTGATTATTATTGCATTTCACCACCACATTTTTTATATACAAAAGATAATGATAGAAAGGTGTCAACACCTCTGACTATTGCTTCTACCAATACCACTACTACTACTACTACCGCTGTCAAAGGTGGTGGCGGTGGTAGTGGTGGTGTTACAAGTGTGCCTACTACTACTACTCAGTGTGATGTGATTATTCGACGTCCTGTTGTGCCTCCTGTCTCTACAACTCAATCAACAACCACCAGCACCAATACTACTACTACTACTACTACTACTACTACAACTAATACAAATATTTTATAGTTTACACACATTTACTTATTTTTTTAGCAAGAGACTAAACGCGTCTAGTGACTACTTATTGAGTTTCATCGTATTTATTTGTCTTCAGTGATGATGAGATGACAGCTGTGCCTTTCTTTCCTCTCTCTCTCTCTCTCTCTTGCAATCCTCTAAACCTTTTTAGCAGTGTTAATTGTATGTTCTTGCCGTCTGAAGGCTTAATTTCACAATTTGTTTGAACCAACCAGCCTCTTTTTCTTTTGGTTATTCCTTCTCTTACTCTGTGAGTCTGTGTGCGTGTGTGCGTGTTGTTGTTATGATGGTTGTTTGTTTACTAAACCCGGTTACCTTACCCTTTTTGCCTTTTTCCTTCTTTGCTTCTCTCCGTCCTCCCTTCCCTGCTATATTCTGATGTTTTTCTTATCGTTGCCAAACTTTTTTACTTTAACCGCATCATACTACTGAATTCCATTTTAAGTAAGATACATAAATTTAACTAAATTAATCATGATGTTGTTGTTAAACTATTCAAATATAAATACATATATATAGATATGCACGTGTGTAAAGTTTACTTACAAATGATGATGTTGATGATTGAGATAACTAAAACATCAGTCTCCTCCTCCTCCTCTCACAGTTATCACCGCCTTTTTATTTTTTATTCATCCTCAAAACTATGTGACTACCCTTCATCTATTTATATATATACATACATATATATTTATATACTATATATTTCTGTTGTGTAACGAACGATTGATGGCTGGATATAATACAGTTAATAACTGACTAACTAACTTTGTTCATCGTCGATTCGATTTGATTAAGGCGGCGGCTGTGGGAGGAGTAGGAAGCTGATGGGATAACAATCATGCTATCTGACAATAAGTGCTATGCGAGGAGGAGGATAAGGATCATGAAGACTTAGAGGGACTAATTCTGTTTCGTTTGTTCTTATGATTCTTTGCAAGACAGTGTTTTTTTATACGCACAGTCATTTCCGCTTCCATATGTTACGTAATCAATTTAACAAGTATAAATATATATACACACATACATATTATTAATTGCAGATGAAGACACTGAATCAAATGAAAGTAATTAAAATTAATTAATTAATTAAATCAACAATCTACCTCGGATTCATTTCACTCCCCGTAAATATAAAAAGAACAAAGAATATATATATGATGAATATAATCATTGCTACATGATCACTTGTTGTAAAGTAAATTTTGATATCAAAAATTACAAAAAAAATAATAAAAATAAATAAATTCCTCTTCTGTTTTTTTAAAGGAAAACTGAAAACTTTCATTGTTATATTTTACTTGCTGTTATTTTATCGAAAATGCGGTGACTGGGTGGGTTGGGGGTTCGGTATCTAGGTCGATTAATATGGTATATCCCTTTTTGTGCTAACTGGCACCATCTGTTTTACCCGTCGAGTGTGTTGTGGGTATTAGGGTGTTTCACAATAAATAGGCCATAATATGCATATATAGCAGTATGATTTCATGAAAATGCTAGCAATATACGCCTGACTTTTGAAATTACTGTTTCATTTTGTCTATAACATTTAGATATGATAGAGAAGATTTGTAGCTCAGCTGGATGATTTTGATATGGTTGTGTTCTCTGAGCTGGAGAGTTAATTTGCGAAGCTTTCATCGCCCTACTAGGCAACATCTTCAGTGCAAACTTCAGTTCGTTGAAGTGCGCTTTCAGATTTCTCCACGAGTTTATTAATCATCTCTCCTGGTGGGTGACCTTGGACTTGATTGGTTGTTTTTGTGTGTTTTCACACGTTCTAGGTTATTTGTATTGTAATTCATTGTTTCTTTGACTTGAACTTTGACCCTTTGTGTGTGAGGTTTCTTTCTTATCGGTTGATAAATTTTGTCTATCTCGATGTGTCTATTGATTGATGATTCACTGGAATACCAGACAGGCTTCTAAAAATTCTCTAGCATTCTTGTTGTTTCCTCTGTCTAATATTTGAACGTTGTCCCAGTCGAATTGATGTCCGTGGTTGTCTGTATGTAGTAATATGAGGGAGTGGATGTCATGTCATATCATGGATATCATTCGTATCCACGAACATAAGCTAGCTGTCAAAAGACATGACATCCACTCCCTCATATCACTGCATACAGACAACCACGGACATCAATTCGACTGGGACAACGTTCAAATATTAGACAGAGGAAACAACAAGAATGCTAGAGAATTTTTAGAAGCCTGTCTGGTATTCCAGTGAATCATCAATCAATAGACACATCGAGATAGACAAAATGTATCAACCGATAAGAAAGAAACCTAACACACAAAGGGTCAAAGTTCCAGTGAAAGAAACAATCAGTCCCAATACAAATGGCCTAGAAGGTGTGAAAACGCACAAAAGCAACCAATCACGTCCAAGGTTACCCACCAAGAGAGATGATTAATAAACTCGTGGAGAAATCTGAAAGCTCACTTCATCAAATTGAAGTATGCGCTGAAGATGTCACCTAGTAGGGCGATGAAAGCTTCGCAAATTAACTCTCCAGCTCAGAGAACTCAACCATATCAAAAGTCTATAACATTGTTCAGCACAGATATCAGTATCAAGCGACATTTTCTGATGAAAGTGCAGCAAATGTAACGCAGTTCAAGGAATACAATGCCTATCAATAAATATGTACGTCAAGCATACAGAAAATATGAAGTGTCGTTAAACCACCATAGGACGATGGTACAATTAACGGGGATATACAGTAGAGCCACTTGGATGTCTATGTTGATCTATGACTCATCGCTACCGATATAAGTAGTCAATTTACAGCCACTGACTGAGTCATCAGTTTGACTCCTGTTTAGATTGGTGATCGCGAAGTTATACTGTCATAGCTAGAGCCAAGTTATGGGTTAGGGAAGGCTACAGAAGGTTATTCCAAATATAGAAATCATGTCCTGCCTTTATGGATTCGGTGAATGAATTCCATGCGGGTTGAGTATTTAACTACTGTGTCACTAAGGGATTAACTGCAGTCCCGAAGATTTCTGTGTGTGTATGTGTGGAGGGGGCGAGACTATGACAATAAGGCAACGTGGGGGTGGGGTAAATATTGCTATAGATGTAATTCATACTATAGAAGAAAATTGATTCGTGAGGGTAGGTGCGGTTTTTCTTTACTTATTCTCCTGGTACTTTTTTTGCTAACTAAATCCAAGCTATCTTTTCAAAGGCTTGTATGGGCAGCAGCATCTAAGCTGGAAAACAGCCTGGTCTACACGGTACAATGGTACCGGAGCTGTAGAGATATATCATCACAAAGTTAGAGAGGATTGCCACTTGCCGCAGAAGAAGTAGGGGTATTCGTCAGCATTTATGAAACTGCCATCATAAAGAGGTAGTATAATCGTTCTATACTGAAGATGAGATGGCCGGAAAGAATCACCAACAAAACCTATGGGAACAAACAAAACAAGAACCAATCGCTCAACAAATATGCAGGAGAAAGTGGAGATGGATTGGACACTCACTCGCTGAGGAGGCCGCTGGGTGACATCGCGCGTCAGGCCATTACTCGAGTGGAACCCGAAAGGGAAGGGGCGAGTGGGACGTCCACGGGTGACATGGAGGAGATCGTGTGAAGAGCGGTTGAAACGATATGGAATAACATGGATGCAAGTGAAAAGCACAGCAGAAGATAGAAGCAAGTGGAGACGTGCAGTTGAAGCCCTATGTTCCACTAGGAACCCAAGGGAACAATAATAATAATAATTGATGAACGAGAATAGCTAATCAAGTGTGGATGTTTGGAGTATACGACACTTCACTTCGCAAATGTTTTGTGGAAACAAAACCCGACAGAAGTGCTAGAGTATTAATTCTAATTATTCAGGGCTTGGCAGTGCTAGGAGCGACTATACATACTGACGAATGGAGGGGATATAACCATTTGCGTTATATTCGCCATAGTGTCAATCATTCGTCCGGTCTTTTGGATCAAGTCATAGGCACCGGCACTAATTCAATGCAAGGAATTCGGGAGGAGGGGGGAGTTGAATAAAAGAATCAGCAATATCAATAGGTCACAAAGTATTATGTTTTACTGCCACCTTGATGAATATATCTATAGGGTATGGTACTACTTGTCAGCGGATTATCCCAGGAGAAACTGAGAAACATTTTTCCAGCACATTTGAAACAATTATCCAGTTTAATATCATGTGTTGTAATGTTTAGAATACATCTTGTCTGACGATTACGCGACATTTTAGCATCTGGATTTTGATTGGTTGTTCAAGGTCACTGTGATAGTTTAACATCACCTGAGTGATATGATTAACTTCCCCTTGGTAGAGAATGGCTCACTGCCAATTAACTATCGGGAAATGCAAATGATTATTTGAGTAACAATGTTTCAGTCATTACACTATTTTTGTTCCAATATCCAATATCATTTTTACGAGCTAGTATAAACCAATTTGATTTCTTTGTGCTCGCCTCTTGATTGTGAGGTATAGGTTGCTGATCATCGGTAAACTTCTGCGTAGCTCGTCCCGCCACTCGACTGTCGTAGCTTTGGTTGACTCCAAAAGGAGCAGTGCTGGGATTAATTGTATGTGGTTTGTAGTATGAGGTGTGTTAAGACTGTTACTACTGTGAATGGAGTTGATCCTTTCACCACTTAGTTCTCCGGTATTATCGTCTAAAGAAAAGAGATAATAATAATAAATATCATTGGTGAGGTTATTCAGACTAACAGACAGAAAAATAAAGAAAGAAAACGTAATAACAGTCAGTTGATTAAAGTTGATATATATACATACATATATATATATATATATATATATATATATATATATCAGTAATAATAATAATAAGTGTAGTTAAAGTTGTCAGGAGAGTAAGACGGGAGAGAAAGTAAAGATGTTCATACAGTGACTTCTAGACTGATCTAGTATGTGTATGATACTTTCATTATATGTAACGATAATTATGATTTCAGTAATATATTCAACTTTCTCCA